TTCAAAATTCAGGCAACATCTTCGTGTGATTTTAGAAAATAGTTGAGCATTAAATCCATGAGAATCCAAGCCATCTGCACGTGGACAGTGAATATACTGATCATATGGATGACAAATTTTCCGTAAGATCTGGAATTTCTGTTCTAAATATTGCCGGATGTTGGAGAATTTAAATTAAGACCAGTGCTTGAATGTGTTCTAATTAGGAAAGACCGCTTCAGAGGAGGATTACTAAAGGAATTTTCGAATGAAAATGATGGTCTTGACCAGTTTTAGAAAGCTTTCGAATTACATACAGACAGAAACCTGGATACCCTAAACTGTTCCTTCCAATAATTCTTTGCTGAACTATTATTCTTTATATATATCGAAACGGGAAATTTCTGATGTCTCAGCCTGCATTTCTCTCTGGCTACAAAAATCATTTTTCATGCTTAGAGCATGCGGCAAGTTCTTCGACAGGCACTTTTCCTGATTGGGTCTTGTCCTGTTTCGATGAGGTTTCATGTTTTGCACTCTCAATAGAGCTTCGTTCCTTGGAAATGTAAAAATGCATTTATTGACGGATAATGACAATTTATAAATCCGCCAAAAAAGTAAAATCTAAATCAAATACTGAATAAATTAACGCCTAGAATGAAGAATCCTTTGCGCTTTACGTAGATTGTCCCACCTTGGTTATTTCTAGAGTATAGGTATATGACTACAAAAATGAAAATAACAACATAGCCCATTATATTCTCAGCTTCTGGAATTTTTTTTTCGGGTTTTAATTTTTTGATGCACTGCAATGATGAGCGAGAACTCTCCAGTTTTTTCATTTTTTCCGACCATGATCTTTCTGAATTTTACTTAGTGCTTGAAACTACCACAAAATTTAAATTTTCAGTTGTCCAGACAAATTTCCATCACCCTGTTACATTAGTAAAGGCGTTAATTGAAGATTTTTCACTTATAACCGCGCANACTGCTGCTCCTCAAAGCGTGGAGAAGCATTTCGAAGCCCGTGAAGGCGAAGACGGGATCTTGTCTGTGGTGCATTTGACTTTGCAGCACGCACACGTGGAACACGGGGGTCGCATTGATTGTTTTGCTGAAAACGGCGACAGTCGGGCTCATCGGACTGTTTGGCTCTCTGTTCAAGGTGACGAATATTCCGTTCTTCCTATCTGTTGGACAGATGTCACTCGAAGTCCATACAACAGGGAATAAAAGAATAACCGCCCCTTGGCGATGTAGGAAATGCAGCCGAGGGATCTCGACAAACGGACGATGCGAATTAGGGACACTGAAAAAAATATATATGGACCTCGACGTCTGGACAATGTCTTGAGACGCACACACTCTCCCAAGATTTCTTGAAAAATTGAGAAGCAATCTTTTCTAAATTTTGATACAGTGTGATATTACTCTGATTCTTGATCAGAAGGGGCTAATTTGTTTCAGAATTTTTTTTTTCATACTGTGTGCACAGTATAGAAAGACTTGTTCATGTTCTTTGCTTCTTGAGTTGTTCCTGATGCTGGCAGAAGATCAGATTCTGTACAGTTTATCTGTGTATATTGAAGTTGAGAACCCATTTTTGAGGGCTTCATTCTTAATTTTTGAATAATTATGGGAGAACTTATTAGATACTGTATGTTCCTTTTGACGTCTATGGGGAAATTTGATCCAACATGCGGACGCTTTGACATAGGGGCAAGGTCCAGCACCAATTACGTCCGCATCTTGATCGAGGCCCCACTGTAATTGGGAGAAATTATTCAGTGGTCTTGGATCAATAACTTCATGGTTTTCAAAATATTGGACAAATATTACGCTCAATGCCACTAAATATTGTCGAACAGAGAATAACAGAAGAGACTGATACAAGCTTTTATTCAACTCTCTTCTAGCGTTTTAAAGTGTGGAATATTCCAAATTTTTTTCTTGGTTAATATGCTCAGAAGCAGTTAGATTTCAATCTTTCGTGTATATTTATCTGCTTTCAGATGTCCCACAAGCGCCGGTTTTGACGGAAATTCATCGAACCAGTGACTCCGTGAGTGTGGAATGGACCCAAGATCACTTTGTCAATGACAAACCTATAGAAAATTTTCTGCTGAGCTGGAGAAGTGAGAGTGAAGAAAATCACTGGATGACCAAACTGCTCTTGTCAACTGAACGTAGTCACAAAATCCAGGTATGAAATCTCATCTCGGGTACCTTTTGCGAAATTCATACGAATCCCTGAGGCCCTGACGCTAAAATTTGAAATTCACGCAGCCATTGTAAGACGTGAATATTTATCTGCGGGCACTTTTGCAATTCTTTATTTGGTGTACTATCCATGAATCGTTATTCGAAATCCAACTTCCTATCCAGTGCAAAAATCTGCCCGTGGCACAAAACTGGTTTACTTATATTTTTGTTGAATTGAGAATTGAGCAATATTTTCTTAAATTTCCTAGATTAAAAATGGGGTCACCAGAAGTGAAAAGCATGTGCCATTTGAGTCATGTGATACAGCATAATCAACTATCGTTTAGTGATTTTTATTTACAGCATCCTTTTGTGCTTTTCAGTTTTGATGAATTTTCCCGCGATGCCTTCGCATTTTCCTCATCGCTGTGGATATAATTAAAATGATTTTAAAAAAAACGACGGGCGAGGAAACAATTAGTCCTAATCCCGTTTACTTCATTTAATCTAGGAACTCACATGCGGGGAAAACTACCGAGTGAATATAAAGAGCAGGAATGCCATCGGATGGAGTCAGCAAAGCCAAGAGCTCAGGATCCAGCCCCAAGGCAATGGACGAAGAAGGGAGCAGAAAATCCCCATTCATCCGGAATTGGAGTTCATTTCCGTAGGGCTGCAGGAATTCCAACTCGGCGACTGCGAAATATCCAAATTCTACGTGGACTACAAAAAGTCCGACTCCTTGCATTGGATCCAAGGTACGGTATCTCTTCTCTTGGGAAATTTTCGGATCAGGATGTTCAGAATAAGGACGTCACGATCTCGAATAGAATTTCGAAATTATGTGCGTCATTTCCGTTGAAAAAAAAAATGAGCGCAGTACTGCATACTGCATACTTCGGTACACCCGGAATATTCCGAAAATACGACATAAGTGCGATGCCTTGATGCATATATCTCGTACAGAATTTTCTGTCAAAAAGTACCCTGCGCTTCAGCGTGATCTTTGGTGATGAATATTAATTCCACGAACAAAACAAAAAAGTTGATCTCACAAACTTTGCAAGTCAGATAGCATGCAAGACTGCAGGATTAATTCTGTCCAAAAATTTTGAAAAATGTATATATCTTTCATTTTTTGGTAACCCTGTATTTTTGGCGCGTCCGACCGCAATTAAGATATGAAATACATTATATTGGTTGAAAGCTGAGTTAAAATTAATGAATCTTGCAGGAGAACTCACTCATTCATTCTTTTATGCATTGCCGCTTTCAAGACAAGTGTAGTAAAATTTAACATATTCAAAAAATGGAGTACAGTATATGCTGAATTCTCACATTTTCTTAAACGTTGGTCTTCGAAAATCGGATTTGATTATTGTAAATTTTTGCGGACTGTAACAATTTACTGGAGTAAAACAAGCAGCGTGGGAAATTTTAAAAACAAGCAGAAATAAATAAATTTCTGACTGATTATGAATTGCTGAGACGGCTTAGATGAGACAGCTCAAATGTTGAGGAAGCTTAGATGCGTAAATCCTTAATTTTTTTTTTCAGACAAGTTTTTCATTTGAAACTAGGCGCCAAGGAAGGAATTCATTAGTTTTCATCAAAACTTTAAAAATAGCTTTACATGCAGAACTCATTTCATAAAAATGAAAGTGGACTAAAATTCAAGAGAAGTCATCCACTGACCCTGAAAGAA